TGAATTGTTAATGTATATGTATTAAAGTGCTTAGGGAGGTGTAGTTACTATATCCAAATCTATCCTACCCGTCCCGCAGCCGACGTTTCAACCAAATTAAGTCCTACTTGATCCTTGACTGAATGAGCTCAATTAGTAGAGTATTACACTATGGGCAAGCCTATGGTACGTCTTCTGTGACATATGAATCTTAATTCTGAGAGTGAGTGAATTCTTTCTATCTTGAGTTCCTAATTGTTCTTGAAATTTATTGTGCGTGGAACTACTCTCTATTGTTTGTGTGAGGGCACATGACTTGCGAAGGTAAGGTGACATCTTTGACCTCTGTGTTAGAGTAAGTGAACAGAATGTGAAAAATACGTGGTGCTCTTGAGTCGAGTCTTGAGGTTAGGATGTTATGGTATGGTGCTTAGTCTATTTTAAATATTCTTGGCATAATGAGTTAGGGAAGTTATATGATAAGAAGGTCGTCTCGATGTGAAGTGCAGTTTGATTGCTCGAGGACGAGCAATGGTTTAAGTGTGGGGGTTTTGATGGTAGGCTAGAATCACGTGTTTTAGTCATAGTTTGCACTCTAATTACTGTATTTTTCTTGTGTTTGAGCTTGAATGTTAGTGTATTACACTTATTATGTATTTTATGCTTTGCAGGAAGTGATTTCGAGTTAAAAAGATATTTGGGAGCTAAATCGAACAAGTTGGAGCTTTGAAGTCTGAGTAAAAGCCCAAGGGATTAAACCGGGATCGCGTTCGGGGGTCGGAAGCCAAGTCTGGATGTCAAAACGCAAACAAAATGAAACGCTCTATAAAACTTGTACTGTCGCGCCGCATGGGGCGGTGCAACAGTGTAATTTTCTTGCTGCCCATCAGAACTTGCTCTCTGAACTTTTCCACTAGCGTCCCGTATGGGGCGGCGCGCCTGTGTAATTTTCTCAGAGTATTTATCCTGTTTTAACTTGGAAAAGGTAATTTTGCCTGGACCCATTTTTACATAGTATAAATACACCAAAAAGACGTTTTTGAAGGGACTTTGGACCTGGAACTTTTGGGAGAGCATTGGAGGCTTCAAGATACGGGATTCCACCATCTTTCCATCAATTCAATACAAGAGTTTGGATTGTAAAGTTAGATTGATGCTTTCTTTTTCTTTAATAATAATTGTGATGACTTCCTCCATGATTATTGAGTAATTTCCTTTAGAGTTTGACGGATATGGTGTTTGATAAATATTTGTGGATTTTAACTCTAGCTCATGCTTGAATTCATTTATGGAGTTTTGAATTGTTGCAACTTTATTCATCCGTTTATTTAATCGAAAGAGGAATATCTTGGTGATTATCTTTGCATTATTTTATTTGATTTAATTTATTGATTCTCTTAAGTAATCGGAAGAGCTTGTTGAATTATTGATTAAATCAAGTTAGGAGAATATTTGAGAGACGTTTTCCTAAGGACCAATCCATCAACGCATGCTTGCATACTTCACAGTGCTTATATTAGTTCATGTCGTAGAGTTAAGATTTAATCGAGAGAGGAGTCTTGACTACATGTTTGAACTAATCATCGAGTGAATTCGTGAGAATTATTAGAATATTAGAGTGAATTAAACTAGAGTTAAATTCCAAATGGTTATCTTGCAACTATCCTGTCAATCCCTTATTCCTCACATTGATAAGAAACCAACTTTGCAATTCTCTAATTCCTTGATATCAATTGTCAATTGCTTTATTTTAGTAGTTAAACTAGTTCATAATATGTTAACTCAAGTGTTGATCCTCCTGAATAGCAATTAAAAACCAAAAATTACTCGAATATTGTTTAAAATCAATTCCCGTAAAGACGATATTATATTATACTATCTTTGATTAGCGAGCATCAATTTCGTGTTGTGTTTTGCGCTCATCGGTGTAACGTGATACAACTTTAAAGTCATGTGTCTTAGCCACCAGTTTTAAGACAGAAAGAGACGAAAAACCATAGAATGTGTGCTTCCAGAATATACACTAGCATCCAAGAAAATGTATGTGTAGTCTAATTTGGCAACTAAACAAATAATAATAATAAAAAAATGAAATAATAGCTTAATCGAGCTTGGTTTGACCTAATGGTTGCGAATTGACTCAAATCATCTTGACTTAAATAAAATTTAGATGGATAGGATCAAGAAATTTCATTATCGATCTAGCTTACACTAGCTTAATATATAGCTCAACCTGCAAATTTAACACTTCTATTGTTTCAAGAATATGATGTAAAGTGCCAGGCAGTTCTTAATAGTAGTATTATTTTTGCTCTCGATTATGCCATTATTCTAATTGTTGAATTGACAACTTGTTCCACTGGCTTCTCAAGTGGAAACAAGATGGACAAGGTAATAAATAAAGGACATAAAGAAATGAATAGTAAATTTTCCATTCATTTTTTTTTTCTGAGACAAGAAATCAATTAAACTTTTTATTTTTTAATTCTTTAATCAGAAATTTCTGTCAGTTTGTGATTTTCTTCAGATTCAACTCTCTTTTAGAAACATTTTAGCATTTCGGAATAAATTTTTTTGGTATAAATATAATTCTGTAATTCTATTTTATGCTTTGTTTGTATCAAGTAGCTATTATAAGGTGTCTTGGTGTCACGACCTCAATTCCCCTCCGTAGGATGTCCTGACCGTAGCTAGCCTCTAAGACTAGATAAGCCTAACAATAATGCGGAATAACTGAATATAAGCTGAAACTCAAACCTCATCATCTGAAATAAATAAAAACTGCGATTCAAAATAGTTACAACTCCCAAAACCCGGTAGAAATAAGTCACAAGCTCTAAAGAGAAAAATACTAAATATCTCTATACATCAGAGTCTAATGAGGAATAAGGAAAATAACATAATAAAGATAGAGGGGGACTCCGAGTTCTGCGGACGCTGGCAGATGTACCTTGAAATCTCCACGTACGGGCTAGCTCACTCGTACCTGGTCTGGTAAGCAATACCTGGATCTGCATAAAAATATGTGCAAAAGCCTAGTATGAGTACACTACAATGGTACTGTCACCACCTAAATCCTAACCTGTCGTGATGGAGCCTATCGATGGTACTAGGCAAGCCGCCATTTCCAAATACTCCAAATATTTAACAGAAAATAGCTCCCAATATCGGAGTATCACTAAGCCATGAGCATCTATATATAATCAGCCTAGAAATGAAATGATTGTAACAGTTTGGATCCAAATACAACGAAAGAAAGGATAAGGAAAAAGAAATAAGGACTGCGAACGCCAGACAGCTACCTCGATATCTCTAAAGGTCAGCTACGCGAAATATCAACACTCTCCGCGTCCAAAAACTTCTAGATTTGCACACAAAGTGCAGGGTGTAGCGTGAGCACAACCAACTTAGTAAGTAACAATAATAAATAAGGAACTGAAAGATAGTGACGAGTTACACATTTATAGGTCATTTTCAGTAGTCTCAACAAGAAAAGTAGACATGCTTTCAAATCCGACAAATTAAGCCAAAATCAGTTTATTCGTGCCAAATTCAAGTAAAAACCAGATAAAAGTATCCTTCAGAAGTTTTCCAAAATCAGTGATATATGGAAACTATGTGCAACAACAATGAAATCATATATAGCCTCTCAAGGCAACAATCACTCAGTCCTCCCATTCACTCCAACCTCACAATCACTCATTCCTTACAGCTACTCATTTCTCACAGTCTCTCAGCACTTGCCACTCGCACTCAGTAGGTACCTTCACTCACTGGGGGTGTGTACAGACTCCGGAGGGGCTCTTTCATCTCAAGCGCTATATCAAGCCAAATCATGGTATAAATAAATGAAAACATGTTGTGGGGTGCATCTCGATCCCATAAATATCCTCACAATCAAGCCCTCGGCCTCACTCAGTCAGCAATCTCTCCAGTCTCTCGGGCTCTCAGAAATCAGGAAAATCAGCCCAAACAGCAATAATATGATGTATCAACAAGAATAATAGAGACTGAGATATGATATGCGAATAACAATGAGACTGAGTACAAAGAGCATTTAACAGGTAATCCAACATGTAACACGGCCTCTGTGGGGCCCAACAGTACCAACACATAGCCTAATTATGGTCTCTAACATGATTCACAGTCAAATTTCTATAACACATGAAGAGCATATAGTTAACAACAAGTTTATTCAACTTCTCAATTTCACGGAATGGACCAAGTCATAATTCCCACGATGCACGCCCACACGCCCATCACCTAACATGTGCGTAGCCTCCAAAACAATCATATAACACCAAAGTCCGAGGTTTCATACCCTCAGGACCAGATTTAAAACTGTTACTTATCTCAATTCGAGCAAAACTCTACTCCAATATACCTTTACCTCGCGAATCGGCCTCCAAACATCTCGAATCTAGCCACAAGCAGTACAATACAATCAATACGGACTAAAGGAAATCAACTCCACAAGAAAAATACGAAATTATAAGACAAAATCCAAAATTAGTCAAAAGCCGGACCCGGGCCCACGTCTCGAAATCCAACAAAAGTCATAAAACCCGAAAGCCCATTCACTCACGAGTCTAACCATTCCAAATTTATCAAAATTTGACATCAAATGGCCATTTAATTCCCCAAAATTAACTTTCCAAATCCCTAGCCTCAAACCCCCAAATTTCACCTCAACACCACACAATCTAAGTGGGAACAACAATGGGGAACAAGATTATTGATCAAAAACGAGTACAAGAAGCTTACCTCAAAAATCCCCTCGAAAATCCGAGTTCAAAATGTTGAAATGACACTAAAATCGCGAACCCTTATTTTTAAACATTCTGCCCAGGCTTTTCGCACCTGAGGCCACTTATCCGCACCCGCGGGACCGCTTCTGCGGTTATTACTCTGCTTCTGCGGAAACCACTTAAGTCACTGGGCTCGCACCTACGCTTCAGGTTTCATATCTGCGGAGGCGCTTCAGCGGCCCTTTGTCCGCTTATGCGGAAATAACCAAACCTTCAAACTTCGCACCTGTGCCCTTCTCGCTGCATCTGCATCCTCGCAGGTGCGGAAGGAACATCGCACGTGCTACCACTGCCTTCTCCACCTAGCCTGCTTCTGCGTCTATCTCTTCCCACTTCTGCGGGCTCGCACCTGCGGTGCCCACTCCGCAGGTGCGGTTACACCAGTAGCAGCAATACTTAAGCTACTTCACCAACTCAAAACCAAGTCTGTTGACCACCCGAAATCAACCCGAGGCCCTCGGGACCTCAGCCAAACATACCAAAAAGTTCTAAATCACAATACGAACTTAGTCGGATCCTCAATTCACCTCAAACAACATCAAAAACACGAATTACACACGGATTCAAGCCTAATGAATTTCGAAATTTCCAAATTCTACAAACGATGCCGAAACCTATCAAATCACGTCCGATTGACCTCAAATTTTTCACACAAGTCACAAATAACCCCACGAACCTACTACAACTTTCGGAATCGGAATACGACCCCGATATAAAAAAGTCAACCCCCGATCAAACTTCTCAAAAATTCGACTTTCTCCATTTCAAGCCTAATTCTACTCCCGACTTCCAAATCACAATCTGGACACGCTCCTAAGTCCAGAATCACCCAACGGAGCTAACGGAACCTTCAAAATTCCAATCCGAGGTCATTTATATATAAGTCGATATCCGATCGACTTTTCTAGCTTAAGATTTCAGTTATGAGACTAAGTATCTCAATTCACTCTGAAATCACTCCGAACCCGAACCAACTAATCCGGTAAGTCATATAGTAGCTATAGAACACAAAAGAGATAGAAAATGGGGAAACATGGCTACAACTATCGAAACGACCGGCCGGGTCGTTACATCCTCCCCCTCTTAAACAAACGTTCGTCCTCAAACGAGTATAGAGACATACCTGAAGTGGTGAAAAGATGAGGATAACTGCTGCGCATATCTTGCTCGGTCTCCCAAGTCGCCTCCTCGATCAGCTGACCCCTCCACTGAACCTTCACAGAAGCAATATTCTTCGACCTCAGCTTTCGAACCTGCCTATCCAAGATCGCCACCGGCTCTTCAACATAAGATAAATCCTTGTCCAACTGGACTGAGCTGAAATCCAACACGTGAGACGGATCGCCGTGATACTTTTGGAGTATAAAAACATGGAATACTGGATGAACTCTTACTAGACTGGGAGGCAAGGCAAGCTCATAAGCAACCTCCTCAACGCATCGCAACATCTCAAATGGGCCTATAAACCTTGGGCTCAGCTTGCCCTTCTTTTCGAACCTCATAACGCCCTTCATGGGTGACACCCGTAGTAGGTGTTGCGGCCAAACGCACACGCAAGTATACGCGGTCATCAAGTAATAAAGTGACTAAAAGTCGGATGTCGAACCCACTAGGACTTGTGATTAACTATTAACTAAATTAGACTATCCTAATTATCTAAACAAGAATTAAACCTAAAAATATTTTATTCTAAACTAATTAAATAAAAAAATATAAATAATGAACTTTGAACAGAGAAAGAGCAGTCTTTTTTATGATATCAATATAATAAAAACGATCTAGGGTTATGGGCTATCTAACAATCCTATTGTATTCTTAAATTGAATTGANTATGGAACTTGATGAATTTCGGCCTCCACGGCGGCTCTGTGCTTGCGTTTTCCTCTAAAAAACGCCCCCCCTCCCCCCTCCAAAATAGGTTTAGGACCCCTTTTATACGAGTTGGGAGTGTGTAGGGCCGAAATAACTAAGTCCGGATGAAATAGGACTAGTCCCCGCATCGAGCATCTAGGGCAACGCTAGGCGCTGGCCCTGGCGCTAAATCCAGTAAGTTTCACGTTTTCTTGGGCGTTCTTTCAATGCTGCCTAACTTTTAAATGTGCTTCGTTTCTCATTCTTCTACTAAACTTTTCATTTCTTTGCAATTGTTTCTTTTGTCTTCTTTTGTAATATTAAACTTTAATCATTATATATCCAATAATTAAATAATCATGAATCCATTCTTGTAGTGTATAAAATACACATAAAATCTCTACTTTGCTCCCAATTTCATCTCCAAAATACCTACACATAAAATAAACTCAATTTAGTACAAACATAGTACAATTTAGCATTAGAATACTAAAATGTAAGGTAAGTAATGCACTAAAAATATATCATTATAGCCAGACATCACTACCCCACACTTAAACGTTATTCGTCCTCGAGTCAACAAACAAATTACTCTATCTTTGAGCACTCTACACCAATGAACATGGTTGATAGTAACAATTAAACACTAGCATATGCAATCACATACACTTCCCTTTATTTATGTCATTCTTCAAAAATATTCAAACAAAGACAACATGCTCACAACAATCCAAGCCTCAAAAACCAACTCAATGTCACAATACACTCATGGCTTGAACATCCAACATTATAGAGAAGTCTAATAATGTTACCTTTTCCTCGTGAAACCATGTGCCCTCACAACAAAAGCAAAGAGAGTAAAATAAATCCACACATTCGAATCTCATGCTCACATATATCAAAGAAAATCGCTCACTCTCACAAAAGAAGTCACATGCATGTAATTGGTACCATAGGCTTGCCCTTAATGTAAATCTCTACTAATGTAAGCTCGCTCGATCTAAAATCAATTAGGACTTTTTTATGGTTGTAATGTGGGCTAAGGGACGGGTAGGATATATTTAAGGAA